CCGCCCACCCAGTCTCCCCTCGCTCCCGCCGCCCGCCACCTGGAGCGGAGCGGCTCCCCGCCGGCTCGGGGCAGCCCGGCAGCCCGCACACACACACATGCGCGCCACCGAGCGCGCGGCCCCGCACTCACGAGCGCGCCCCCCGCGTGCCCGCCCCCTGCCTCGCTCGCGCACGGCGGCCCGGACGCTCCAGGGATGGACGCGGGAGCGCGAGCTGCAGGCGCATTGTTTCCCCGACTGCTTTATATCTCGCGGTGTGCCCGGGGACTGGGAACCCGGGAGGGAGGGTGGTCCCTAGGAGACGCCACCGAGCGCGCGGCCCCGCACTCACGAGCGCGCCCCCCGCGTGCCCGCCCCCTGCCTCGCTCGCGCACGGCGGCCCGGACGCTCCAGGGATGGACGCGGGAGCGCGAGCTGCAGGCGCATTGTTTCCCCGACTGCTTTATATCTCGCGGTGTGCCCGGGGACTGGGAACCCGGGAGGGAGGGTGGTCCCTAGGAGACAAGCCCCTCCTCCTCCCGCCCCTCCCTCGGCAGGCGACAGGTGGGGCCGGCCCCACCTCCTGGCTTCTCTGCGCGGCTCTATTCTATCCCTGGAAGCCCCCCAAATAAATTGCACGCTGGGGAGCGCGGAGTCGAGGAGCCGGTGCAGCTCCGCGGTCGCCTGGAGGAGGTGTGACTCCAGAGGGGCACCCGCGTCCGGGCGAGCTTACAAGGCCGGGCTCCCCGCCTACGCTGAGCCAAGGCCTAGGGCTGCTCCCCGCCCCACCCTGCTAGCCTACTTCCCCCGGCGCGCCCCGCTGGGTTCAGGTGCGTCCCACCCACAGCAGAGGTTGGGGGGGGGGGGGCGATACTGCACCTCCACCGCGCCACCTGGCGGCCCTCGGCCCTGCACCGGGGCTCGTCCTGCCATCGCTTCGTCTACTGTTAATGTATTTCCTTAGCTCAGTGGCCCAAACCTTTAGGATGGGGAAGTGAAGGAAGCGAAGTGAAGATTCAGAGCTATGCAGCCTGCAGCATAACCTTTCCGAGCCTTGGCTTCAGGTGTAAAATGAAGGGATGGCAATACCTCACAGGGTCGTCTGGGAGAATGTATTTAATAAGAAGGTAGACCAGGGGATTGGAGCATGAGAGAATGCAAGCAACGCGGGCTTACAAGCCTCACTGGCTTGGCCCCTGGAGCCGCCAGGACACGGCTGACACCTGCCTCTAAAGATTCATCCTCCACACAAAACTCTCCTAAGAGTTGTACTAGAGAACGGGGTCTGGGAGTGTGGGAACTGCGTTCAGGCCTCTGTATTGTGTACTTGCTAGCTATGGGATCAAGGCATTTGAAGCTTTGCCTCAAACCTCTGGCCAAGATGATGGATACAAAATTCCTTTGTGCTATCTTCTACATAGGCTACCTTGGGAGAAAGAGGAGAAACGAACTATACAGAGATTTAGGATCAAGGAAAGTAGCTTAAGATGGCAGCCAATGCATCTAGAATCGTCCACCTGGCACCAAGCTCTGATGTCTGGTTGCCTGCCATCCCGCCTACCCTTGTGGTCTAAGAACACCAAACTGCTTCTTGTAGGCATCCTAACAGACTGGAGCCAGAAGCAAAGGCACTTCCCTTTGTTTGGAGCAGGAGACAGGAGGAATGAGCTGACCCATGAGCTGAAAGACAGGGCAGGGAGTAGTACTCCGCCAATGTTTTGTTGTGTCTAAGGTGGGTGTGGGACATCCTTGAAGGTAGGAATTGACTCTCACTTGTTTAGTAACCCCTGTAGCTTGAACAATTTCTGGAATTATTTCTGAACTGACTTCCTCAGTGACCTAGCCAACTAGATTTCTTCCCCCAGAAAAAAGTGTTTATTTTTAGTTTTTAAAAATTTCTCATGGGTCAGGCATGGTGGTGTACACCTTTAGTCCCAGCACCCAGAAGGCAGAGGCAGGCAGATTTCTGTGAGTTCAAGGCCAGCCTGGTCTACGTAGTGAGTTCCAGGACAGCTGGGGCTACAGGGATACTCTGCCTCAAAAAGACAAAAAAAAAAATTCTTATGTGTATGAGTATTTTGCCTGCACCCGTGTCGTGCCTGCAGAGGCCAGAAGACGGCAAGGGATCCCCTGGAACTGGAGTTACAGATAGTTGCTAGCCATCAGGTGGGAACTGAACCTAGGTCCTCAGCAAGAGCAGTCACTGCTCTTAACTGCTGAGTCATCTCTCCGACCCCCAAATTTTATTAAGACAGCCTGTATGCCCTGCTCTTTGCTGAACCAGCAGTCTTGAAAAGGTTCCAAGTTTGGTTGCAGCCTTGAGGTCAAGGGATCGCATGGCTTTCTGGTGTCTTGTTCTCTAGTTCACAGATGTCTGGGCTGGTTTTAAGTCAGGAGTTTTGGTGACAAATGACAGAAGTCAATCTTAGATAAACATAAGCAGGAAAATTACTCTGTTGGCAGAATTTGTTTATAGAATTCATAGGAGGTTGGGAATCTATGTTTGGAGAATGGGCCTTCCTCTTTGTTGCTTTTTATTTGTTTTATCTTTTGTTTTTGTTGTTCTTGCTGTTTGGAGACAGATTCTCACTCTGTAGCCCAGGCTGGTATAGCACTCATTATATAGCCTAAGCTCACCTTTAACACCCAGAAATCTCCAGCTTCAGCCTTCCAAGTGCTAGGTTTACAGGAGTGAGCCACCATGGCCAGCTTTCCCTTTATCTAGATGGGAGCCCTTCCTTGTGATCTCATTGTTGTCAGTGATAGGCTGAGGGCATCCAGGATCATCCTCTCCTTCAAGAAGTAGGAAAGGCAATTAAATTGTCTTCTGAGAATTATATTGCTCCTCACTCTGTATAGTTTTAATGTCTTTCTCAGAGGGTTATAAGCTCAATGAGCAGCTGGCGAGATGGCTCAGTGGTTAAGAGCACTGGCTGCTTTGCAGAGGACCCAGGTTCAATTCCCAGCACCTACATGGTGACTAACAACCATATACTCTAGCTCCGGAGAACCAACACCCTCTTCTGGCCTTCAAGGGAATTGCATGACATGGGTGTACTTACATTCAAATGAAACACTTATACACATAAAATTAAGATTAATTAATTTAAAAAATTGCAATGGTGAGGGGGTGAGGATTGAACCTAGGGCCTCATGCATGCTAGGCAAATGCTCTACCACTGAGCCATATCCCCAACCCCAAAGTATTAATACATCTAAGAAAGTACCAGTGCTAGTTAAGAGGTCTGGGTAGTCAAGGAAGCCAGAGATCAAGGAGAGCTGCCACAGTAATTGCCAGCAGTATCCATTAAAGCTCTCTCTGGAGATGAAAATGCTGCTCCAGACACAGGGGATATGGGGGCATCATTCTTTGAAGCCATCCGGTTCATCCCCCACATTATTCATGCTCTGGATCACCAAGCGATTCTCTGAAAACCATTCTGTTCCCCATGTAGATCCGCCCACAGGGAGAGAATGCACTCAGCAACAAACAGAAAAATCCAGTCTGCTTCAAAGCCCTGCTTCCCCTATAAATTAATGAATTGGCATCTGATTTGAAATATCAGTCTCATGAGCCTGGTTAATGTGTGTCTGTTCCACAGAGATGCTGCTGTTAGGACTAACAACTGTGGTTTCTGAGCTAATGTCTGAACCCAGAATGGTGATAAATTCACCAAGGTAACAAATGCTACCCTAGGGACATTCAAATTATCTGCAATTTTTGTTGTTGTTCTTTTATTTTTATTCTTTGAGACAGATTTCCTCTAACACTTTGAACTCGCTTTGTAGCCAAGGTTAGCCTTAAGGTCCTGATCCTCTTGCCTCAGCCTGCCAAGGACTGGGATTTTCTGCATTTTAGGTGAACTCTTTTATTTTGCTTGTATTTTTTAACATATTTTATGTGTATGAGTATATTGCCTGCATATATGTAAGTGTACTCATATCGTGCAATGCCCACAGAGGTCAGAAGACGACATCAGATCCCCTGGAACTGGAGTTATAGACAATTGTTAGCCACCATGTGGGTGCTAGGAATCGAACCCAGGTCCTCTGTAAGAACAGCCAGTGCTCTTAACCACTGAGCCGTCTCTTTGGCCCCTTGTTTTTTGTTTTTTGAGGCAGGGTTTTATCTAGCCCAAGATGGACTGGAACTCATGGTAATTCTGTCTTAGCTTTTCAAGTGCTGGGATTGTCATTTATTTATTTAGTTTGTTTGTTTTGTTTTGAGACAAGGTCTCACTCTGTAGCCCAGGCTGGCCTTGAACTCATGACAGTCTCCTGCTTCAGCCTCCTGAGTGCTGGGATTATAGGTGTAATCACACTCAGCATATCCTTTATTTTTCTTAAAAACTTTTTTTTTTTTGTCCCCTGCGGTAATTATTTGTATGCATATATTACATACTAGAAGAAGAATCCCAGGGTTTTCCTTCCCGTGTTTATTTATTTTTTAAATCTTTTTGAGACAGGGTCTCCCTGTAGCCCCAACTGGCCTGGAACTTGCTATGTAGACCAGGCTAGCCTTGAACTCACAGAGATCCTTCCTCTGTCTGGGACTAAAGGCATGTGCCACCACACCCGGCTCCTTCCCGTATTTTTGTCTTACTTGTTTGTGGTCGATGATGCCAGTCAAGGCTGTAAATACAATGAAGCCCAAATAATGGGAGGAAGTAGATTCTTCTGTCATTTTTCTTTATGTATGTGGGCACGTGTGTATCATGGCATATGAGTGGCAGTCAGAGGACAACTCACCAGAGTCAGTTCTCTCCTTCTACCATCTGTCTGTGGGTCCTGGGGATCAAACTCAGTTCATCTGGCTTGGAAAGAAGTGCCTTTACCGAGGGCGCCTGTCTTCTGGCCTGTCTTAGTCATTTTTCTAGAGCTTTGAGTTGCCCGTAAGATCTGAAGATATTATATTAAAGTTTCTGTTCTTTTTGTTTTTCAGTTCTAGAAAGCAAACTTTTAATGTCGTGTTTTATTTCTTTTTTTTTGGTCTTTTTGAGACAGGGTTTCTTTGTAGCCCCAGCTGTCCTGGAGTCACTATGTAGATCAGGCTGGGTGAACTCACAGAGATCCACCTGCCTCTGCCTCCTGAGTTCTGGGATTAAAGGCATGCGCCACCATGCCCGGCTATGTTGTGTTTTCTATTCTAAATTCATGCACCATCTTTTTTTGAAACAATTAAAATATTACTAATTTTTTAAAAAAGGTTACTTTTTAACTTGCTTATGAGGCTCACAACTTGCTTCACATCTCTGTGGTCATCCATGATTTCAAATCCAGCAATACACTTATGCTCACCATCACTGTTAGAAACTGGATGATGGTATATTTGCATAATAATTAAAATTTTAGAAAAGAAACAACAATGAGCTGAGCATGGTGGCTTACGCCTGTGATCCCATCACTTGAGGGACTGAGGCAAGAAGAGCTCAGTGAGTTTGAGGCTAGCCTGGGCTATATAGCAAGATCCTGTCTTTAAAAAAACAAAAACAAAAACAGATCCGGAGAGATGGCTCAGCAGTTAAGCATGAGAGCTGTGTACAGAGGACAAGAGTTTGATTCCCAGCACCCACATCGGACAGCTCCCAACAGTCTATAACTCCAGCTCCAGAGATATCCAATATCTCTGGTCTCCTGGGAAACTGCACTCATGTGTGCATACTCACATACAAACATACATATAATTAAAACAATAACACAAAAAACTGGGAGAGATGGCACACACCTTTAATCCCAGGACTCAGGAGGTGGGGACAAGTGGATTTCTGTGCGTTCGAGGCCAGCCAGGACTACATAGTGAGAGCCTGTCTAAAATAATAATAATAATAATAATAATAATAATAATAATAATAATAATAATAATAAAAA